AGTCTGCCTGAGGGCCTAGCAACAGGCACTGTCAGAGTTCCTGATTGTGCCCAGCCAATGAGGGATGACCACGCAATGCCACCAGATTTGGACACAGTTTGGGTGCTGGGAGGAAGGTATATAAGACTTTTCCCATTATTGAATAAATGACCTTATTGTTTGCCTTCAACTGACTCCCAGTGTCTGTGCTGTTGATGCTACACTTTCTCATCTCCTCCCACAAGGGAGCCATTAGGATCCACCAACATCTGGTGCCTGACCATGGGGCTTCTGTTACTTTCTCTTTCCTAGTGCAGGTTCTGATTGTCTCCCTTCCTGCACTCATGATGCTTGACAGCACCCTCAAGATAGTGTGTTTTGGTGAGAAGGCTCCTCAGTGTTGGGTTTGTTCAGTCCCTTTGGCAGATAAGCATTGGGACCCCCATTTCTTTCCTTCTTTTGTGTTGTCTGTCATGTTTATCTGTCCATCCCATTAGGAAGGCACATTTTTTTTTCTGTCTCAGTTTGCCTGGTGCCTCCACATAAGGATTGGTACCCCAGGAGGTGAAACCAAGGCTCAGCTCCTGAATGCCATCTCTCATCTGGAGACACCATGTGGGTATATGGCTGTAGCCTAAAAAGCCACAAAAGTCCCTCACTAAGCACAAGACATAAGCTTCCAATACAAATTTTCACCCCTGTTGACTGTCATCTTCTCTCTGACAGTTGTTTGCTTGCTGTTTCCCTCTAAAAGATGGATAATCTTTTCATCACCTCTACCACTTCCATATCCAATATCTCTACAATATCTGATGATGAGGAGACAGACAGTTTGGGCCCCACGAAATCTGTCAAGGAGAATGCAGCTGTCATTAAGTCATGTGCTGCTCCCCCCTCTGCTCCACCACCAATGCAGCTGACTATATCTCTACTGCCTCTGCCTCCCAAGTGCTGGGATTAAAGGCGTGCGCCACCACCGCCCAGCTCCAAATTTTTATTTTTAAACAGATGAATAATATTCCATTATTTAAATGTACTACATCTATTGTTCATTCATCACTGGTGGACATCTAGATCAAATTTCCAATGAAATTCTTCACAGAAAGTAAAAGCTAATTTTAAATTTCATATGTAAACACAAAAGACCCAGCGTAGTTAAAAATGATCCTGAACAATAAAAAAATAGCTGGAAATGTCACCACTCAAGATTTCAAGTTATACTATAATAATAAAATCATCATGGTAGTAGAATAAAAACTATAGCTGAAGTTTTCCTGTGTCTACCAGGGTCCTGCAGCCACTCAGACCCAAGTAAACACACAGAGACTTATATTACTTATAAACTGTATGACCATGGCAGGCTTCTTGCTATCTAGTTCTTATATTTTAAATTAACCCATTTCTATTAATCTATAAGTTGCCATGTGGCTTGTGGTTTACCAGTACTTTTACATCTTGCTTCCTCTGTGTCTGGCTGGTGACTCCTGACTCAGCCCTCCTGTTCCCACAGTTTTCCTCTCTCTTTGTCCTGCCTATAATTCCTGCCTGGCTACTGGCCAATCAGCACTTTATTGATTAACCAGTCAGAGCAACACATTCACAGCATACAGAGTAATACCCACATCACTTCCCCTTTTCTTTTTTTTTTAAAGGGAGGTTTTAACTTTTACATAGTAAAATTACATATAACAAAACAATTATCAAGCAAGAAAAAGCAGTCATTTAGTAGTTACTATTGCTGTGATGAAATACCATGACCAACGCAAATTGGGGAGGAAAGGGTTTATTCAGAGTATTCTACATCACAGTTCATCAAAGGAAATCAGGTCAGGAACTCAAGCAGGGAAGAAACCTGGAGGTAACCACTAAAGCAGAGGCCATAGAGGAATGCTGCTTACTGGATTGCTTTACCATGGCTTGCTCATCCTAGTTTCTTATAGAATCCAGGGCCACCAGCCCAGGGATGGCACCATGCACAATGGGCTGGGCCTGCCGTCATCAATCACTAATTAAGAAAATGCCCTATAGGCTTGCATACAGCCTGACTTTATGGAGGCATTTTCTCAATTGAACCTCCCTCCTTTCAGATAACTCTAGATTGTGTGTCATGTTGACATAAGACGAGCCAAAGCAGAGTTCTCAAAAGACAAAACAAAAATGCCCGAAAACCACAGTTTTAAATGTTCAGCAACCCTTGCTTTCAGGGAAATTCAAATTAAAATGATTGAGATTTTATCTTATCCCAATCAAAATAGCTAAACTCCGACAAATGTGGATAAATACCGGCAATGATGTGGGGAAACATATATTGGGCTGGCTAGTTTTATGCTAACTTTACACAGGCCTTGGTTATTTTTGGAAGAGAGAACCTTAAACTGAGAAATGTCCCCACCAGATTAGCCTGTGGGCAAGGATATGGTGCATTTTCTTAGTGATTGATGGGGAAGAGCCCAGCTCAGAGTTGATGGTGCCAATGTATGTTGGTGGGGGTGGGGGCGGGGGTGGGGGCGGAGAAACAACTTGACCACACAGCTGCCATGACAGGCTTAGAGGCCCAGACACAGCTTCTGGCAGGTAACACCTGGACCCAGGAAAGCCATAAGCTGACTTTACCCAATGGGGCCTGCATCTAAGAGGAAATACCTGACATTCCAAACATTCCCCATACCCCTAGACAAATGTCAGCCAACCAGGGTCCTGAACCCTGGAAATCCCCTCACCCCAACCTCTGCTATGATAAAAACTCTACCCTGCCTGAGCTCAGGGCTCTCTGCTCTCACTTCTGCACCAGACAGAGACCAAGCTCTGGAGCTTGAAGATAATAAAGACTCTTTGCTTTTATATATGGGATTTGGCCTATATGGTGGTCTTTTGGGGAGTCTCAATGATAGAGTGGGTGGCAGTTGGAACAAGTAGCTGGGTGCTGGGGTGGCCCATGAGCACTGTGGGGCTGGACACAATGGGTTTGAGGTCAGGCCCCTGGGGGGGGGGGTCCTCGGGGTGGAGACTTTGTGGTACAGTGCAGGCAGGAGCCAGCAGGGGGCCTTAAGGAGCTTAGAGTGTGCCTGAGCCAGGCAAGGGCAGGTGGAGAACTGTCCCTCCAGGGCCACAGCTGAGGAGTGGCCTACAAGTCTGGGGGTCCAGCTGGGGCATGGAGTCACTTTCAGTCTGCTGCTCTCCTGTTCTTGAGAATCTGGGGTTAATAACAATCTTTCGCCCCCATGCTGCATGCTGTCCCCTTCCTGTTCCATGAGGTGGGGCTCCCACGGCCTGCCCTGAGATCGCTGATGAAACCTGAGAGATGATTGGCTCCTAGGGTGGAGTGGAACATCACTGCCTATGGTTGCTAAGCTATGGCGGCTGTGTTATAATGCTACAGCCCGGGCTGCCTTGATCACTCAGATACAATAGTGTCTTCATGTTGGTAGTGCTGATGCAAATTTAGAGTTATTCTTGTTATGGTATATGCATGTATTTCTGTTCTTGTTTAAAATATTGTAACTTTACAATATATTCTAGACTGCTGAGGGGAATCACACGAAAGACTTTGGTAAGAGTTTCTGTGTTTTACAAAATAGGAAAAGTGGAATTTGTCTAAAGTAAATGTCTGAGAAATCAAAGGAATGGACTGAGGGTATGTAGAAGGTTGTAGAAAGTCAGAGGGGATGTGAACTATGTTTGTTGTGGTTTCTTATACCTGCAAATACTGAATTTAAAAGTTCATTCTGGTTGGTTTTCATTTTAAAATTAGCTGATGATTCTGCAAACAGTTTATGTTAGAAATGGGGATATAATGTGTGTGTGTGTGTGTGTGTGTGCGCGCGCGCGCGCGTGTGTGTGCGCGCGTGTGTGTGCGCGCGTGTGTGTGCGTGTGTGTGTGAGTGTGTGTGCGCGTGTGTGCGCATGTGCGTATGTGTGTGTGTGTGTGCGTGTGTGAGTGTGTGTGTGTGTGTGTGAGAGAGAGCCTCTGTGTGTGTGTATGTGTATGTGTGTGTGTGTGTTGTGTGTGTGTGAGTGAGTGTGTGTGTGTACGGACGCATGTATAACTTGGATTTAACTATATGTATGAATGTAAGCTAGCTTTAACTGTATGTGTGTGTATATAACTTGGACACAACTGTGCATATGTGTGCAAGTAATTATTGTTTAGAAAAACATGTTTTAAAAAGTAACCACATGGCGTTCCTCCATCTTGACTGGTGACCTCATCATGATGTATGCAGCCACAAGGCTGGTAGCCATCTTTTACTAAGGTCATAATGATCTATTGAGATTAACAAAAGTTAGAGATTTACACCTAAGTACTTGTATCTTTACCAAGTGCGCAACAGCAAGCTTCTAGAGAATTTAAATGGATGGCTTCATATGTTTAATAAATAAGGTATTTGATAATATTAAAGCTGCACCTCAATGCTTTTATACACAAGAATGTACCTTGCTCTGGCAGCTATACTTTGTAATTTAAGAGCCATCCAGGTGATAGTCACCAGAAGCACCAGCCACAGAGAAATGGAGCAGGCTGAGATCTAGAAGGCAGGCTATGTATATGCTGCCAAGGGTAGGACCAAAGAAATGATCCAAGCCTCTAAGTCAAAGAACCAAAAGGATTATGAATGAATACCAGATATTGAACTTTGGGATTGTTTGCTTTATACAGATTGGGGTTATGCCATGTTTTCTTCCTCTTAAAATAAAAGAAGGTTCTGTATTGTTAATATTTGGACTTAAAATAAAAGGCTAAAAATTAGGGTCACAGCTATAAGCACCAAATACTAACCAGAAACTGGGATGTCCATTTCTTGTGATGCAGCAAGATAATGACCTAAGCAATCTGGCAAAGGGCTTGGAACAGCTTCTGACTCCATGAGTCTTGACCCTTTGGGGGTTGGTAAAACCTTTTTACAGGGGTAGCCTAGGACCACCTGTATGTTAGATGTTTGCACTGAGATTCATAACAATGGCAAAACTGCAGCTATGAAACAACATTGAGAAAGTTGAGAATCAGTGAGGCTTAAGGATGTATGCCTATTCTTGTAAGCCAACCTGCCATTGGTCATCAGGCTCCTTAAGTACCCAGTGCCAACCCACAGGACTGGCTTACCCCAAAACAGACCTTGGAGAATAGTCAGACTTCTGCCAGAGCCTGCAGTTTCTTCAGCAATGCCTGGGGCAATCTAAAGGGCTTAGAAAACTGGCTCCTCAACAGTCATCAAGACATTCCTGGAAAACCAAGTTCCTCAAAGTGTAACAGCCATGGTAGCACCAGCTCTTTCTCTACTGAAGTTGAAAAAGTTGAAGATGTAGAGCTCCTTGATCAAGATGACCTGGACCTGTCTGATTGGTTGGTGACTCCCCAAGAACCCTGTGAACTGGAGAAGCCTGAGAATGGTAGCTGTGAAACAAGTGAGAAGTTTAAACTCTTATTCCAGGTGTTCACAGAGCCCTACAATGTGAATGATTGGCTTGTCAAGCCTGACTCCTGTACCAACTGTCAGGGTAACCAGCCCAGAGGTGTGGAGATTGAGAACCTGGGCAATCTGAAATGCCTGAATGACCACTTTGAGGCCAAAAAAACCACTGTCAGTCCCCAGCGTAACCACCGAGGCTTGGCTTGTCCAGAACCATCAGGACCCATGTAAAGTAGAGGAAGTATGCAAAGCCAACGAGCCCTGCACAAGCTTTGCAGAGTGTGTGTGTGATAATAACTGTGAGAAGGAAGCTGTGTATAAATGGCTTCTGAAGAAAGAAGGAAGGGATAAGAATGGAATGCCTGTGGAACCCAAATCTGAGCCTGAGAAACACAAAGAGTCCCTGAATCTGTGGCTCTGTCCTTCCAGAAATGAGCTAATTGAACAAGCTAAGGCACCCAAGGCAGTGGCTCCCGCTAGAATTGCTGATTCCTTCCAAGTCATAAGGAACAGTTCCCTGTCAGAGTGGCTTATTGGGCCCACATGCAAAGGAGGGGGCCCTAAGGAAGTGCCTAGTACTGAGGAGAGAGCTGGCAAAGAAATGCTTAAAGTCCCTATGGCCACTTCCTGGTGTCCCTTTAATACTGCTGACTGGGTCCTGCCAGGAAAGAAAGTGGGAACCCTCAGCCAGTTCTCCTCTGGAGAAGATAAGTGGCTACTTCGAAAGAAGGCCCAGGATGTGTTTCTTAATTCACCCCTACAAGAAGAACGGAACTTTCGCCCAGATTGTTACGGCCTCCCAGCAGTTTGTGATCTCTTTGCCTGTATGCAACTTAAAGTTGATAAAGACAAATGGCTGTATAGAACTCCTCTACAGATGTGAAGCAATGGACTACTAGAATTGAACAGCTTTCCTGCAGATTACCACACATCCTTGAGCTGAGTGACTGTGACTTGCCAAACCATTGTTTATTCCAGGCCTGACTAGTCAACTTAACTCCTTTCCTGCTTAGTTTTGAATTAGTAAACAGAAATCATCAAATTATGAGCTAGTGTGTGAAAGAATGCCAAGTGATTCAGTTCCTTCTTAGAGAAGCACTAACTTAACTCCCATACTAGAAACAGCATCTTGGTACACTGGCCGTTAGCAGGTCCACAAGAAACACTAGTTTTAAAAGTGAAATATTTCTATATCAAGTGTGTTAGTGTATTCTAAAACCAGTAAACTTTGCTGACTTTTGATTGTCTTTTAGCTGTTTCTCTTGCTATGGGCTTCTAGTGGTCTGAAATTTTTTTGTTCAGTTGATAGAATATTTCACACAAAAATAATTAACCCTGCCAATACAGTATATTTTGCCCTACTGAATGTCTTATAATGCAATTTTTGATATTAATCATCAGATATTTAGCCTACATGTCATTCCTAACATTTTTCATTTGAAAGAAATTAAGTATCAAGTGAGCTCTTTGAAAAGGACTCTATTGCTTCACGACTACTTTTAGGGCAGTCAGAGCACCTGAAGTCCTACAAACCTTGTCTTTAAAGAGCCCCAGGCCATCAGAAACAGAAAGGCAAAATGTGTTAGGGACGTAGTACCTGACCACTCATCACCCTAAGGATTTATTGGTGCATCCTGTGTAAATGGAAGCTGAGCTTGACACCTGGTGCTCTTAACTAGGGATAAAGTCAATGTCCTGTCACTTCAAGCACAGCATCCTGAACCTCCAAAAGTATGGTGCAGTGACATCTTGATTAACAACAGGCTGTGCCCAACACTTGTGCCTTGGAGTGTTTATTGAAACTTCCTTGAGTTATGCCTACATTTTAGAGAGTTTCTCTGTAGGAGAGCAACAGGATTTCTGTTTCACAATTCTCCAAGATAACTTAGCTGCTTTCTCCGCTTTGAACTATTAAGCCTCTGAACTGCCTATGCTATTGGAAGAACTTGTGGGAAATTTTTTTGTCCCATAGTGACATTGTCATACAGCTTTACTAAAGTTCTGAATGACAGCTGAAAAGAGCCTCATATTTTCTTATGTCCCCCCAGATGCCACTGAGTATTATAAAGTTGGTGGGTAAAAACAATTTAAGGAGCCTTCCCAACATCTTAGGTTGCAGGCAACTTTGTAGTTTCTCTTTTGAGGTCTAACACACTGTATTTTACATTATTAAAATGTAATTTAAGTTAATCACTATGCTAATGATAAATAAAACATTCTTTTGCATTGGTTTTATATCTCCATTAAAAGCATAATGGCCACATCACAGTTGTTTGTGTTGTCTGTAAAGCTCAAAATGTTAATGTTTGGTTAAGGATGCAATAAATAATATGTACAATGAAAAAAAAAAAGAATGTATGCCTAGCCTCCTTGCCTTTGCTAAATTTGTTAAGCTTAAGCTATTTGGATAAACTGAATCATATATATGTTTTATATTGATATTTTGTTTTGGTTTCTTTCCTGAACCCATATTTGATACTAGAAGAGCTTCAATTTAAAATCACTGTTTTTAAGGATACTTATTGTAGACTATTAGAGAACATAAGTAAATAGTCACTCATAAATAATCAAGTTCTTTAATTGTAGTCATGATAAGTACTGATGTAATTAATTACATGGATAAGTTTTACTCAGTCCCTTGCATATGTTTTCAGGGTTGAGTTTAAAACAAGTAACTAGAAACAAAGTTTGTCTATTTAGATATACCTGGACAACCCTCATACTTCAGAGATCTGCAGAATATGGTATTTGAAATGTTGATTTAAAAGCTTATTATATCAGACAGACTTCCAGATCCTAGCAGTGACCCAAGGTATCCAAAGAAGATTACGTATGGAGCACCAAAATGTCTCTGACTGGATTATGGCAATTCTGACCACAGGGCAAGATACTCCCAATGCAACACCTGCTGCCAGGACCTGGCCCAGACTGTGGACAAGCAACAAGACTTCAAGGAATTGATTGCACCCCTTTTTGCTTAGACAAAGTAAGGCCAGTCTTCCCGAATGTGTTCCTCTTATACAGGAAAAACTCTGCCTTATTGGCCTGATGGCCAAATAAGATGATGCTTTTTCAATACTTGTGCCTCCAACACTATGGAGACATGGGTGTGGACTGGTCCCTGTCATTTATAGAATTGGAAGCTGATTGGTCTGCACTCAGATATAATTTATCCTTCTCAGATCTCTGATAGTACCGGTATTTAGGCTAGCTATAACTTTGTCAGCTTGGCGGCATCAGACAACCAGATCCTTCTGCAAGCCTATAGCCAGTTTGTTAGCTCATTTTTAAGAAAGTGTTCTAAGTTATAAAAGTTTAAACAAGTCATAAAGCTTTAAATATGAGTCTAAGAAAGGTCTGAGGATATGAAAGCTTATAAGCTTTGAGTATCTCGGAGAATGATTTAAGATATAAATGAGAATTGTAAAAATATAAATAGATAATTTAGATTATGAGAAATGTTTCAGGTTTCTCTCCCATTCTATGATATAACAGTTTAAAGCTTAACATTTAATAGAGTTCTGATAAGGTAGTGAAGTAATGACTGCTTATTATTCAGTCACAAGCTCAACATTTTAGATTTCTTTTATTTGTTATCTAAATATATATAAATTTAAACCTAGAAATGCCTCTCATCAGGCCAAAATCTCTGTCGGATTTATGCTTGGCTCTCTGGAAGAAAGAAAATGCACATCCTTTTAACCAAAATTTGTAGTTTTTGTTGGGACTCAAAGGTATGTGTCAACTCCTGCCGTTTTACAGATACTCATCACCTGCTTTGTCTATGATATGGATTTCAGTACATATTGGTAATATTAATGTATCTAAAACATTTATGTCCTTTTGTAAGGTAGTTTGTGTAGGTCTCAGAGGATTAAAAGAGTTATAAAACTTGGATCCACTTCACAGAGGTCAGAAGGACCCCCACATAAGTACAGCTTATTCGTAAGGATGGTATTTTTTCTCTCTCTTGGCCTTTGGACCCCTGTTCTTCCCAGTTACTAAGGATGTGAGCCTTAGGGTTCCAAATAGGTTCATAAATTTTAACTTCTGTTCCTAGTTTAAGTTTGTCTCAACCAATTTCCACTTGGCTGGAAGATATCTCCAAGCTTCAGTTGCTGACTACACTGCTCCAGTTGACTTGCTAAAAGCTGACGTGGACCAGCCCAGCCAATGTGATTGTTCCCTATATCTACAAGGTCAGATAGCCACATGCTTCTGACAGATGCCCCATTGCTTAGCCTTTGACTAGCCTTTCAGCCTTAGACTAGCCTTTTAGTATTTTGGGGGACCTGACAACAGTGTCCCAGTGACAGCTCAAAGCAGTTCCAGAAGAGAATATTTCATCCTATGTTCCCCATCCAGAAAAGGCTGAAATGCTGAGTCAAAAGGAAACGTTCTGGCATGGAGGCAAGATGGCTAATTATAATCCCCATTGACATACCAGGAAAATAGGCTCAGAATTGTCGATTGATAAATTTATTAACTGAAATGGTTCTGCAATAAGATGAGATGCTTGGTCTTCTTTGTCCAGAACCAAAGAGGTACTGTATAAGATCATAATCTGGCTGTACCCAAAGACCAGACCTACAGGGCCATACAGATGTCACTGCTCTAGAAAAATATGTTAGCTAATGCTTCTTAGGTCCCAATACGCTTAAACCTCTGGAGAGGTAGGACTCATGATTGAGTCCTATCATTGGTACTTGTGAAGGGGGAGAATGTGCAGGGCCCCAGCACAGCTTGACCACACAGCTGGCATGACAGGCTTAGAGGCCCAGACACAGCTTCTGGCAGGCAACACCCAGACCCAGGAAGAGCCATAAGCTGACTTTATCCAATGGGGCCTGCATCTAAGAGGAATCCAAACACTTCCCATACCCCTAGACAAATGTCAGCCAACCAGGGTCCCTGGAAATCCCCTCACCCCAACCTCTGCTATAATTTAAAAAAAAAAAACCACCCTGCCTGGGCTCTGGGCTCTCTGCTCTCACTACTGCGTCAGACAGACAGAGAGACAAAGCCCTGTAGCTTGAAGATAATAAAGACTCTTTGCTTTTACATATGGGATTTGGTCTCCATGGTGGTCTTTTGGGGGTCCCTGTGATCTGGGCATAACATCATCCCTGGGCTATAAGAAAGCAGGCTGATCAAACCACAAGGAACAAGCCAGTAAGCAGCATTCCTCCATGGCTTATTCTTCATTTCCTGCCTCTAGGTTTGTGACTGGAGTTCCTATCCTGACTTCCCTTGTTGATGGACTGTTATCTGGAAGTGAAGGTGAAATAAATTCTTTCTTCCCCAAGTTGCTTTTGGTCATGGTGTTTTGACACAGCAATAAAAAATAGTAACGATGACACTGATTTACTACTGGTCGGAGTGAAAACTGGTACAGCCACTGTGGAAATCAATGTGGAGATTCCTCAGAAAACCTAGAAATAGATCTACCACCTGATCCAGCTAGAGCACTGAGCACATAGCCAAAGGACTGTATTATATAGGGATAAATACCTAGCCAAGTTTATTTCTGCTATGTTCACAATAGCTAGGAGATGCAATGTTTGTGCCTGACACCTTCACCAGAGACTAAATGGCTGTAACTCTGTGGTTTGTTCTCCCTTGGTCTGTTTGTCTGTCTTTGTGACTATGATTCTGTGATATCTGAGATCATAAACTGTTATGTCCCCTCCTGTGCCCTTTCCCAGTTAAGACTGCTCTTAGCTCCCTTTATGCTTCCATATAAATTGAAAATTTCTCCTCCCTAGTGTTTTGAGAAACGTTATAGGAATTTTTTTTTTTTTTTTTTGGTTTTTCGAGACAGGGTTTCTCTGTGTAGCTTTGTGCCTTTCCTGGAACTCACTTGGTAGCCCAGGCTGGCCTCGAACTCACAGAGATCCGCCTGGCTGTTATAGGAATTTTTAATGGAATTTTTTAAATCCACAAATAACTTTTCATATATACACATTTTTACTATATTAATTCTGCCAATCAATGAGCTTGAGATGTCATTCTGTCCTCTACTGTGAGGATCTGAGAAAATCTTGAATTAGTGTGGAAAGAGCAGATGAAATCCTGAGTGGTTGTACATTGTTGGCATGGACACAGCCATGTAGTGCACCAATGCTTCTGATCCATTGGGAATTGGCTAGGCCCCTCCCCCTCCCCTGAGATGGGGCTCAGAGGGATGACAAAACCTTTCTCTGGTCATAATGTGAATGTTGGCAGTATATGCAAAAATGAGCAACCACAGCTTCCCCCTCCCAGATGTTTACAGCTTGAAACTGCTCATCTACAGACACCTCCTACTGGTTTTCCAACTACCACTCCATTACAGTACACAGAGCCCACCTGACCCCAGCTTTTCTGTGTATGTGTGTCTGTGTGTCTGTCCTTTCTTTATTCCCTCACTATCTCTTCTCAGGTTTCCAGGACCAAGCCATACTGAATATGGCACTTGGTCTTTTTCTATTTCTCTCTTTAGTGGTCAAATTCATATGGTCTTAACTTCAAAAATACTTGTAGTCTTTAACAATTTTAGTGCTGCTTAAAAGTCCAAAGAAAAGGAAGAAGAGGAGAAAATCATCTAAAATCAAAGTCTCATCTGAGACTCAGCACAATCTCTTAGTTGTGAACATTTATGAAATCAGAATCAAGTGACACAATTCCAACATACAGGGTACAGATTTCCATTCCAAAGAGAAAGAATAGGGGTATAGCAAAGACTGATTGGACCAAAGTAAAACTAAAATCTAATTAGTCAAGCACCAAATCTTGCAGATGTTTGTGTGGCATCTAGACCTGATGACGGAATCACCTGGCCTCCAAAGGGCTTGGTAGCACAGGTGGAGGGGTGTGGCTATCCAAGCCCTTTGGGGGCTTCACTCACTATGCCTGCATATTTCCTCAGTGCCCATCCCATGGTACTGGGATCTCCAACATTCTGGAGTTGTCATTAAAACTTAGGCTTTATCTTTATGACTTCATGCAGTGGCCTCTTGGAGCCTCCATGCATATGACTCTGGCCCTGACACATATTGCCTAACTTTACAGGCTCTGTGAAACCATGGCTTTCAATACCGTGTCTTTCATGACTACAAAATGAGTAGTATGTAGACATTACATTGCTGCCTGGTTCTGCTATCTGGTAGAGATAGAACTTGTCCCCCTTAGACTAAACTTATACTGGCATTTGTTTGTGGGCCATGGGGAAATACTTTCCTAGGTTATTTTTGAGCAAGGAGACCATCAGTGTCATTCCAATTT